CGTTGCAAGCAGAAATTCATGCGCAGGCGTGAAGATCGTCCCAGAATTGTCTCGTTGGAAACGATATTCGCTCGGTATATTATATAATGTTATATGTATTATAATTGTATACTCTGAAACGGTGTTCGAGTTCGAGGAATCGGGTTCGATAGTTGGAGAGAGAAAAGAGAAGTTCCATGCTGTATCGAATATGCAGAAATCTGAATCCTTTACTGCGCGCAGATATTGATCTTTTCGATTTACTGTCTTCTTTTCCGTCGATATTCATTTAAGTTCCGATCGGAGACGTTCAATTCTGCGCGCAGATAAAAATAGTAAAAAAATAATGATTACAAATTGCGTGCCAGGGAGAGATCATAATCCTCGACCTTGACAGAAGAAATATAGTGACTAGAGACGAAGAACTCAAGATGACTCAATGACTTATACGAACGAAGAGATGAAAAAAATAAATTACATTAAAATCAATGTCAATAATGTATTCAATTAATTTGGAATTTCAAAATTAGTTTTCATTGTTTGATAAATTTCAGAATTTTACTGATAATATAAGATAAACAAAATCTGAACACCAATTCTAATCACTTCTTTGGATATTTATTTCTTTTTATATGATTCTATTTATTAAATAGAAATGAACATAAAAGAATTTATAAAAATAGACAAATAAAAAGAAAATAAGACTTATTATAAAAATAGCAATTATAATTATATATAATCTTTTTCCCCCATTTATAACAGGGTCCCTGTTTATGAATGGTTCCAGGACTTTAATCGAGGTAAGACCCTGAGGTTTGAAGGATGACTTAACTGTAGAAATAGAGTATGATAGAATAAAGTTGAAAAAAATTGTGGTACCTAGTGCAGCAGTTTAAAGTTGTAGCTTACCGTACCGAAGAGAACAGTGGGGGGAACAAAAAGCTTATTAGAAACCTTTCGTTTATTTTTTTGTTGTTACTGTTGTTATTGATGTTGTACTTGTTGTTCTTACTGTTGTTCGTAGGAGCGAGATATAGTACTTGTTAATTTGTCGTTGTGGTGTTGTCCATTTTGTGTTTTCATTTCTCGGTGGTTGTTTGAACGTTATTTTTCGTTTTTCTGTCTCCGTTCGCTGTTCGCTTTCTCTAGTTTTATATAGTTTTTCGTTTCGTTCGTATCGATGGTTCTCTCGTTTCCCGGACTTTCGTGACCACCAAAAAATTGAAAATCACTGACTGGGACCAACTTCGGGAAGGAAGACAGGGTAATACCACCAAAAAGTACAGACAGACACATAACAGTTAATTACGAGGCGAGGTAAGTGGTTGTGTGCTGTTTTTTTTTGTTTTTTCTTTGGCTGTCGTCGCGTCCCGAATTTGATTTTCTCGTTGAAACGCACTCGATCGTTCCAAAAAAAGGCCGCGTTTTCCATCGAAAAACTTTTACGCTTCTCTTATCGCCAACGTCTACAATTTTATCTGTTTTTGTTTTTTAAATCCCTTAAATTCCTGTCGCAACGGAATTAAAGAATTAACACTGATAAGGCTTTGATAAAGCAGTTTAAATGCTAGTATTTCGACGAAGGACTCGAGCTTTCCATATCGTATTTTTCTTACCGATCGTCGATTAATAGAAACGCAGCTTTCTGTTTAAAAAAACAAGGCTGATCTTCAAACAACCTTGAAGTTCTGTATTTGATATTTTTGAATCATCGTTTTTGAGATATTTAGGTGTAAAACTTTCAAACGAACACTCTATATTTGTGACAAGATTGATTGCAAGTAAATAATAATAATAAGGTTTGTTTTACATTATGTTTCAACATTTAAATCTATGCTATAGATTCTAGATTCAAATTTCAAGTCGAAACGATCAAATAAAATAAATTTTACTCGTTTGTATAACGTTTGTAATAAAATAGTTTCGAAGTGTACAAATGGTGATGTAACAAGGCATAGTGCGAAACCTTTAGGTCACCGATTTATTTTAAATTTCATATATTGGTGTATTTCAACGCCCTCTGTACGGAAATACACCACTTTCTATTCTTATTAAGTACTAAGTTTCTATTTTGAAAGAAACTTATTGCGTTTCTGTCGATTTGACGCATCTTGAAGGTCTATTTTATGTGCCTAATTATTTCGTATTTAGTATCCTAAATTGCGAACAACTGGTATTATAAAATATTCAGTCGGACCGTTGGGGGAGTACATATTCCCTTTAATTGTATTTTTAAAATTATTATTTACAATCTAATATCCTGCAAAAGATCGTTAAACTCTTCCCTTAATGGCCACGCGATCTAATTTCGACACAAGTCAGCGATGGAAGGTCAAATCGGTGACCCGAAGGTCTTGCACTCTCCTTTCAAGATGGCGTTTCACAGTCGAAACGAACCAAGACCCGTAAAAGAACCCTTCCATATGGAAATTTCTATTAAATCGACGATTCTGGACATTTATACTCTTTCTCGTGGCAAAGCCTGTAGAATGTTTGTGGTGTTGCTCTGATCTCGACATCCGGTTCGTGGGCTGTCGAGGATCCATGAAGCACCGAGGCGTTTGCAGTTTTTCACTTTTCTTCTTAGCGTTTGCATCTTAATTGCAACTTTGGAGTATTGAATCGGTGATTCATGAATATACTACGATCCAAGAAGCACGCGGGGTTCTTGGGGATGGGGTAGAATAGAATACAGATAGCGACAGATAGACCAGCAGGTACCTATTACAGGCAGACAAAATATGTATAACATCGACGGTAAGCGTCAATTTTGTAAGGATTTTTCACGACAACAAATCTTCCCTTTGTTTGTCGATGCTGGATTTCGTTCTTGGACAGCTTAACGACGGATTATTTGTTGGGGAAAAAGTTCTTTGATGAGTAAAAGACTCACGATGAAATTGTTGACGGAAGTCAGTGTCGATGAAAACATTGTCGGTATATAACTATTTTTGGCGAAATCGTGTTGGTGAAACAATTATTTTAGTGGTATCACTTTTAATTCGATAGTCAAGCGAGTACGTATGTGATCCTTTCAGTAAGGTTTGAATTCTCTTACCATAATCATGAATAAGCTAGTGTCAAAATCGTAGAACTCTCGAGACAAACAGCTAATTTTATATTTAAACTGAAACTATAACGATCTCCTAATTCATCGTGTACAAAGTTTCCGAATGAAAAGCTTCCTCTTCGTTGTTCGAGCCATAAAAGAAAGTACTCCGAAGACTTACTTGACCCAAGTGCAGTAATTGTTTGTAAGGATGTTTTCTCTTGGGTCTTTCTTCCTGATAGAGTCTATTATTTGATCAACTCTCCTAGGAAGGAAACCCTTTGTCAATAATGGATATTGATTGTAGTTGTACAATGCCTGTAGTTCCTACAAAAGTATTCCAACGAAAAAAACCTAAAATAAACACGTAACCAAGGAATCATTTATGTTAACATGGGTGTGCATTGACAAGTATCGAAATCACGGAAATTCAGGTACGTTTTCAAGACGTTATACCTAGTTATCTTGTTAAAAGCGATACCTCTCATGTTGATTGGGTTTGTACCTCGTCTCTAGAATGCTCGAAAAAATTATTACAAATTTTTAAAATTGTAAAGTCGGTGTAAAGATAATATGTATACCGAGGAAACAACGAGTGTAAAATTTCTTATTTTAATTAAAGTTTACTTTGGAAAGTAGCGACAAATAAAGAGTCCTATTTCCGTCGTTGAGAGTCCAGTGGAAAGGGAAGCTGGCCGGTGAAAAAATTCCTACGAAATTGCAAACACTTGCATAGGGCACGCCTTCAAAACGTCGGGTAGAGATTTTGAAGGGCTCAGGGCTACGGAATCTGGTAATACAAAACAACGAGAACGGAGATATATATGTACGGACCTATGTACATGCCCGTACACAGGTAGGTACAGAGACGTCCTACGTGAGAAAAGAGGTTGAGGACCGTAAGAGAGGGGGAAATAGAAATAGAAAAACAGAGACAAAGAGAAATACAACAGTAATACGCAATGTCGCAGTTTTGTTGCTTTCTACCTTCAGACTCACTCACACACAAATCTCTTCCACCAACCAGCGCGTCTACATGAATTTCGCTAGACGGGAAAAGAGAAACACATAGAGTTCACACGTTAAATGGTCAACAATGAGAATGTCGCGGGCACGTTTAAGTCCTGTGTAAAGCAGCCATTTTTCTTTTCTCGCGGATTCAAGGAATACTTTTTGGCGTGAACAAAACTACTCGGTTTAACAGAATATTAGAAGCGGAAACACGGTTTTTTAATTAGTATTAAATTTTTCGTTTCGATTAAGATGGTTATTAATACGACGAAAAACCCGCTGGAGAGATTCCTCCGGCATCCTCCGAGGAATTTCTCCAACGACGTCCAAGCTTATTTGGCGAGACTTCGCTCGGGACGTCTAGCGTCCCTCAACGTCGTGCAAATACAACTTTTCCGGCCACAGGGATCTCTTCTCAGCGCGGAAACATAGATTGACAGAGATAGTAGCCGTGAACGACTGATTCGGTCTGCAGTCTGATTTGGAATCAGACCTGTGTGTTTTCCGAAAGTTTTTAAAGTAATTTTCACGGTTATTTGAAAAATTATTTCGTAATAACGCCATATTTTCAATTGAATCTCCGTCATTTTGTAAGTTGAGGTAATAAAGATGCTGGGATTATCTCATTATACTCATTATACTTCCCTCAGGAAACACTTAACAAAATAAATTATTTCCCAAACAGCCTCGAAAATAAATTTGAAAATAAAAAGTTTCTCAAAACGCTCAGGCCTGATTCATAGTCCCAGATTTTTAACAAAATTATTTAAACATATTATAATGTTTGGTATATATAAGATTTTTAGGTCTTTTTGTAAATATTTAGAAACGTTAAACTTGGACGAATTAGTCGTTCAAAATGGCGGCGAGGTACACTGACCAGATGACACGTAACATTTAGACAACGGCGCGGCGATGTCATTAGCTTTTTCAAAATGCATTTATGCGTATGGTTACTTACCGATAATAATGGCCAATATGATGAGTACGATGACGCCCATGATGATCATCATCTACGAACAAAGTCGAACGAAATTATCAGTATTGGATAAGTGAAAGAATATAGGGAGTACTGCCATTTTATTTAAAATATAATAACAGACATACTAAAGCACCTATCTAATTCTAGTTTAAAACATTTTACTGTAATGAGCAGACTGAGGATCTTTATACAAATTCATATTTTTATTAAAAGAATTAATGAAATTGGAGGTTTGTAGAGGGTTGTCTCAACTACTAAATATAATAATTCGTATCTTACTTTAAGTATTCTTTATATTTATGCATATTAAGTGCATTCTGTAGTTTTTTAAAAATTTAAATTTTCCATAAATGTATAAATATCCACAGTCTAGTAATGAGTCCTCCGCTGCTCCTTAACTTAAACCCTTGTCTCGATTCTCGAGATCTCAAGTTCCATCCCCGGAACTTAAAAAAAATTATCATCAATATGTGTTCCAATTATTATTGAATTCCTCCTACACAAATATTTAGCAACAACATTTGAACATTTAAAAAGACTATATATGTCAATATTCTTAAAAAAGAAATAATTTATCGGATGCAATAAATAAAAGAATTGAATCCAAAAGTAACAAAAGTACTTCATCTAATGCTACTAGAAAAAAAAGATTAATTGTCTAAGTTACGTGTATGAATATGTATAATATAGATACAAAACAAGTAATACTTTCATTATAGAAATATTCACAATGTTTAAAATACTTATAATGTCCCATTCATGACAGTGCTTCCTACAGAGCGAATCCACTCAACATGATGCATTCAAGAAACAGACTAAAAGCACCCTTTTAAAGTTGTACAACTATTGATCGAGACATTTATGCTTATAACAAATACTTTAAAAGTTATATTGCATCGTCTCGTTGCGTGACTCATCCCTTAGAAAAGACAGATTTTCAACGAGATATTTTTAATAATAACAAAATTACCTTCAGATTTTGTAACCAGAACTTCCTCTTCAGTTTTCCTGCCTGTTGTTCAAACTGTGACGCACCTTGTTGAAGCGCGTCTGCAAAAGAAAATCTCAAATGAAGAGTTCGAATGTCACAATTATTACATAATTAAATCGATTCTAACTGGTAAGGTGATCGTATTAAAGAACAAAATGGTCGATTAAAAGCGGGGACCAAAGATATGTTATCTTAACAATATTTACGAAGAAATCATTAACAAAAAGTCGAGGATAGTGATAGTAAAATATACAGAAAATTTATAAAAAAACAAAGTGACTGAAAAATATCGATTTCCAAACATTTTGAAATTTCTTTCACGGTTACAATTAATAATTTAACGTTATATCATCAACATTTTTAAAGAAACTACATATTTTTTTTATTTGCATTATCGGAAATTAAAAAATGTAGAAGTTATGAATTTTGTCTAGAACACTCGTAACCTTAGAAATAAAAGATGACGCGTGCCAGCATTTTATTCGTGAGTATTGTTTGGATTGGCTTGCTTCAGACTTTTTTTATTAATCTCACCTGCTCGATCGTCGAGTTCGGAGAGCTTTTGATCACGCTCGAGGACCTTTTCAACATTCGTTTTCATGATGTCGACGACCTCATCGACCTGTGCTTGCGTTGCTTGCAGTCGCTTCTGCGAGGCAATCTGCTGAGGCGTCCTGGGACCCCCGACGATTTCGCCGGAACCTGCAACGGTGCCTGCAGCCGCATCCGGTGCTAGACCGCCCTCGGTGGCCCTGCGAACACGACAAATCATCCAAGATAAATAAATTCTGCGTTGCAATTAATAACCTTCAAATTAGGTAACAAATCACTTGAAACTCTCGATATTTTCCATTATCTATCAGAAATAAATTGCGGTTTCCCGTTAAGTCAAGACGTCTATTTAAATCAAAGCAGTCGTATTTTACTAATTCTAATCGCAAATCTCATTAAAATATCATTGAGCGTCCAAAAGTTGCAAACTTATTTTCTTTTTCACCGAACCGCAATTTTAAGAAAAATGACGATGTCAACATAGATTTACTGTTAAATAAATCTGAGGGGATGTCGTCGATTTCGAATAAAGTACTCTCTTGATTTTTCCTCCGTAGCTGTCATTAATTACTTTCGTTTTATAGGAACGAGTTTCCAACGAGTCGAAGTTTTGTGACGTTCGGCGCAAACCAGGAAGAAAGTCGATGGAAATCGAAAGGTTAAGAGGCGTTTCGTGGTATTTGATTCGACCTGGCCAGAGGTATTTCATACGTAAGTAAGACTGACCTTTTGCAAGGAGAACGACTGTTCCTCGAACGACCATGATATTAGTCTAATTATCATGGGAGTATTATGTTCCGTTTCTCGTTGCATTAAAATGTTAACGTTCTTTCATGTACGATTTCCTTGTTGAGCAATATTTGTCACGTTATCGAATTACAGAATATTTTGATCGTTATTTCTAAGGGTGGTTTCGATTCTGATAAGTAAAACACTATTTCTAGAGATACCAGGTACGATGGCGGATTGAAACGCGGTCGAAGAGAGTAGCGGGTTTTATTTTTGGCAGCCGATCGAACAATTGTGTGGCAATAGCTGATCGATTTGGTATTAAAATACCGCTCGTATATTAATAGAATTTCAAACATTCGTATTACTCGTGTCTCGTGTATTCCGGATATCTTCCGAATTGCATCGGGTTGTGTAATAAGTGTTCCCATTTCCTTAGCAAGAGCACTACTTCCAATTTTATATACATTGCAGGACATAATTATAAGCCTCATTTTTGGCGTTTTCTATGATTTACGATTATTCATTCTTCATTTGCAGAATTACATAAAAATACATGAAAAATAACATTACAATTGTTTATCGTGTATATTAAATTATTATGACCATTTAGAAAAGTGTTGATTTCCAGTTGAACGAAAGTATAAATAAACATAGAAAACAATTTGTTTAATATAGAATTGTAGTGCGGAATAATTTTCAAGAAGTTAAAGAAGTTATGAATACGTGCTAAGATGTAGTAACTGTAGATGGACGATCATATTTGATTATAAATTACTCAGAACCCTTATAGAACCGATATTTATACAAAAGTATAAATAAATATAGAAAACAATTTGTTTAATATAGAATTGTAGTACAGAATAAGTTTCAAGAAGTTAAAGAAGTTACGAATGCGTGCTAAGATTTAGTGACTATAGAAGGACAATCATTTTACTTTATTTGATTCTAAATCATTTAGAACCCTTATATAATAAAACCTATTTATTGATAATACGATATATTTATTACATAATAAATAAAAGGTAACGGGAAAAAAAATAATTCATAAGTTAGACGTTTAGTAAATAACTTATATTTATAAAAACGTATGCTCAATTCAAGCCCCGAGGAAGAGTATCCAGTGGATACCAGGCATAATGTACGGTTGTCTGATGTCATCTATACAATGTATAAAATAAAAGACCTGACTCACTGACTCATCAACGCCCAGGCTAAGCCCTTGGACATAAAAAGCTGAAGTTTTACATAGAGGTTTCCTTTATGATGTATACAAGAAATAAGAAAGGATATTCCGAAATTCAACCCCTAAGGGGGTGGAAAGGGGTTGCAACGTTTGTATAAGGAATATTTTATTTGTGGTCGGATTTACTTGAAACTTGGTCTTAATGCTCTTTGACATAATTAATCAAACACCTGTTTCGGCATATTAAAAAATTCAATCTCGGAAGGGGTGAAAAGGGGTTGCAATGTTTGTATGGGACATATTTTGTGTGTGGTCGGATTTACCTGATACTTGGTCTGAATGCTCATTGATAGACTTATTTCGCATTAAAGTTGCCTTACTTCCGTAAATGGATCTAGAAACTTCAAATTTAACATGTAAGTACGTAATTATTATCTTATCACTAAACCGTTGCAATGGTGTATATACGTCTAAATATCCGTATGGGTGTCGTTATGAAGGTTTTTTTGGGACGTTAATTACAAAAATGGTATCAATTTTGAAATATAAGATGGCGACATGACATAAAATTAAAACTCTATAAAAGATTTAATGGAGAAACAATATCTATTTCCGAGGGAACTAAACGGTTTCCTGTGCGAGCGAAACCGCAGGCAAAAGCTAGTCGGATATAATCTACTTGCACCCGGTCATCGAGATAGTCATCAGAAAGCACAACTTTTCGTTTTATCGTCAAAGCCATAGAACATTGCTGCAAATGTGGTCGACATTGATTATCTAAATATAGAAAGTGTGTCGCAATTGATTGCCACCAGTACGCGTCTCTTCGTAATTAAAGATCCAAAAATATACAGTAAGAAGCAAAACTGAACACACGTACGAAACTTTAATGTAAATAATATTTCATCCAACGTTTCTCCATATAAAATAGAAAGAAAATACTTAGTGAGTACTGCATTGACTTTAAAAAAAAGAAAATGATAGGATTAATATTATTATACAAATTCTTTTCGTGGAATCAATTTTGCATTGCAGTTCTGAGAATCGACAGTCTTAAACACAAATTTTGCCACAACTGTTGCTTCTCATAATTATAGTAGAACTATACCACAAGTGTGCCATAGTTTCTTCGTCAATAACAAAGTTAAGAATGGCAAATACGGAAACGATATTATTTCATGGACTCGATGGAAAAGTGAGAATGACAAAATCTTTAATTTGAGAAAATTGAGTAAATTTTAAGTTTTTCGACAGGTATAATAATAAATAAATGAATAAATAAATAGTAATGTTCCTCCATATATAAGAGATCGCCCTAAATTATTGTCAGAAGAAAATTGACAAAGTGTATTATGGTTGCAAGTTGCATTAAAGACATCAATGGCTGAAAAATTAATAGAAAGGGACGAAAGAAAATTCCTATCGATTGATGACTCAAAAAGCATCGAAGACAGTTAATTTCCATCAGCTGAAAAGAAAAACGAACCTGTTCTTTCAAAAAGATGCAAATTTGGTCAGATAAATGTAAAGTTAATCAATTTTCATCGGACAGCCATTTCTGGATTTGGAAAAGAAAAGACGAATCTCTTTTATTGCGTTGTGCAAAGTAAAAAATTAAATTCATCGATGTTTCACTTATAGTGAGGGGATGTATTGTAGTGTATGGTGTAGGTTTATAATACATAATCAATAGAGTAGATTATTAACTTAAATTCCTCAAAATTATAGTAGTTTAGTTAAACAATACTGCAATACTTCTATTAAAAAATATAAAAGAAATAAATATTTCATCAGTATTTTTATTAATCAAATACAAAATAGCTATTGAAATCGAACTTTTATAACAGAATTAAAGCGTCGATGTAAAAGTTAACTTCAAACAAAACAAAAATAATTCAAAAATTAAAAGTTTACTAAATAATTTATAAAAGTTTACAATTAAATTCAAGCCTTACTTTCTATTTATAAAAATGTCCTTTTCGTGTAGGAAAAACGAAACAAAAATAGAAAAAACTGTTCTTATCATAATTTTGTCGCATTAAAAATTCAATGAATATTAAATTAAAATTAGACTTTGAAATATCTATTTTTAACGTGTTTGTTTTACCCTAAAAATGCTTTCTTATAAATTTTGTTATAGATGATATGATATTCGTCTATTGCAAAAGAGGATCTCTCCTCGAGGAAGGTTGGGAAACACTGTAGTAGGGAGTAAAAGCTTAGAACACTTCGTGAATTATATTGAATCGTTCCTAACGAGCGGACGTCCAAAGAGTCGATCGACGATGAAATAAAATTCGCAAATCGTCAAGCAATTTGTTCGCCCATATCGGACACAGTTCGATCGCGAAAGAGGGACATGGCGAAGTCCCAGAATTCAATGACCTCAATTTCACTGTCCGAAGAAAACTGTCTCTGCTGGTCTGCTTTAAGCTTTGCTGCATTTTATTGGAAATTCTGGCGTGTGTTACTGACTGGCCGTGCAACGGCATCGATTGGCGACAAAGACCTAGGAAATTGCGTTTTAAAATCCATTTCACCAAGGCTCGATACTTTCAAGGAACCGATTGATCAACGACATCGCCGGGATTTCGATCGAAATTTCAATCGACCGTACGATTTCATCTCAGAAAAGAGGGGGAAAAAATTGGCAAACAAACATTGCAAAATCCCAAGGACTATTTTGCAAACTGACAATCCCATATTTCCGTCTATGTTTCGCTTTATTGCATTTCTTCCAGCTGTGCGCGAACTGTGCTCTTTACTGTACTATTGCTTTTTCCTTGCGAGTTCATTATTCACCCTCGGTCGTACAAACATTTCTCCTGAACTAAATTCACACTGTCACAAAAATCTCTGCGCAATATTCGAAATCATTTCCCTTCCCAGTGTCACACACGTTCGATGCGAATCCGTGTTCCACCGTGGATGCAGGTACAAATTTGAAACAAAAAAGAAACGTTCGAAAAACCGACGAAGACTACCGGTCGAATAGTACGAAATTTGTTTAAAGGGTGTCGGAGACGATTCGTCTTGGCTAGGAGTTGCATCAGCGGAAAGCGGGACAATTCGATATAGATTCGTTCTTAGGTGATCACCAGTCTCGGTAGGTTCCATTTCTCGAAAAACACTTTTCGCGGACGTGGAATGGATTCGTAGATTTACTCACATGTTGTTGGTCGGTCGCTACTGGTTTCCTGAACTAGAGCTATCCGCTGGCCTGGCAACTCCGTCAGATGACCGCGTACTTTTCACGAACGACTGTCAGCGACTAGACGGCCTCAGTATTGATAAAATTTCCAGCGGTACCGACGCGATATTGCCGCCGCTCCAGCGATATCTCGATCGACCTCGAACCTCTTGAACCGCGTCACGAATCTTCTCGAATCCGTCCTTTTCTCTCGATTCTCTTTTTCTAATTAAACTGGACAGTCCTAGAACATTGCGAAACTTTTCGTTAGGCGAGATTCCTGCTCACGAATTTCGTTGCGATAAGTATTCTTCCGTTACCGTTCGCGATGCAGTAATCGATGTATCGAAATCGAACGGTTGACCGACGTCTCCGAAGGATTCCTGCGCATGCGCGGAAGTTTCCCAGTCAATAAACGCAAGCCAGCCGCAACATCCCTCATGCGCAAACACACCCTGAACGTAGAAGTCAGGGCTGGTTCCAGGATTATCCAGCGCCCCGCGATCGTTTTCAAGAAAATAGGCCAACGACCGGGCGCAGTTTCTCCGTTTCCATAACATTTCCAACCCACGTCACGTTTTATTCGTGTAAAAGTCGAGTGTAAACGTTTCCTCGAATTAAGAAAAAGAGTGCCTTCGTTCATTGTTATCGGAGACAAGATGGCCAAGCAGTTTTAAAGTTTCTTTCCTTTTATTCATATTAGATCTTCCAGGCGAGAAATTAATTTGTACGTTACTGGCAACGCGATTCGAGTATGCGCACGATCGTAAGATCTTTTATTAATGCCCTCGTTGCGAATTTTGCCGTGAGGCGAGGGTGTCGTTGTGAATATCGCTCCGCGAAAATGTCGTCGATTGGAAGAGAAAAACGCACCATGGCTGTTTCATTCGGTGAGATTCACAATAATTATCTTATTTTCTATCGTCAGGGGTTTTATCGGTGCTTTTGAGATTCCGCAAGCGACAAATTTGTCGTTTAATCTGACAATTTTTATTTCAAGGTAATTCGTATGAAATTTGCAATTTAAAGCTCGATTATTACGACTGCAAATATCGTTTATTTTTATATGATTCCATGTCTTTTAAATTATTATCTATTTTATACTTTAACTACTGTTTTAATTCAAGCTAAATTACTTATCCTACCATTTTAATAAATTATTCTAAATTCTATTACATTATATCTATTCCAATGGAATAAGAAAATATGTTAATTTCCTGTTACACCCAGAAAATGTTAAAAATTCCGAATATTTATATAACAAGTATGTACTACTTGTTTTACTAACCTGATTCTAAAAACATATTTTATACTACATCCACCACAAATACATATAAACTCTCCACTTAGGACTTCTTTTATTTAATACTAATTTCAATGCTTGCTTTTTAAATTGATTATATTGAATTTTAAACGCATTTCTACCATAATCATTTACAATTTCGATAATAAGAGATATGTATCATGTATTATTAAATACACAAATAATTGTACTTGCTCAGGTGGCAGCACGTGCTCAGTTTCTAAATTTTTACGTTGTGTTTCTCTATTTTGAAAATCTACGATGTAACCGTAGTAAATTTTGATGATGACATCTTATAGTAATGCTTTATGAATCAAAGATTAGATTAAGCAGTGTGCCTGTTTTCTCTCGTAGTACTTGTCAAACATAATCGAGATAACCGTGACGTCATAAGTATCGCCATCTTTATCTTGTGTCAGGAGTATTGTAAAAGTGTAGTCGTCATCGAAGCAAAGTTAGAATACCTGTCATATTTATCTATAAATATCATTCCATTTGAATTTTCTACATATTTTTTAATTTAAAGTAAGTGTACTAAGCTTTTCTGTAAAGTTTAAACAACAAGCAGAAATGTATATTTTTAGAAAACTGTTTTCTTATTACGGTAAACATAAACACATATTTTAATATACCGTTTTGTTTTTCTTTCGTATTAATGATAGTTTTACATCAATATTGTGTCTGATAAGAATTACAGAACAGTATTATGATACCGTATAAAATTTTAATACAGTAACCTTATTCGTACAAAGATTTTATGAAATTAGAGGTTATGGGTGTGTACATTACTATTAGCATATAGTTACGATTCACCACAAAAGTGTATTTACATTTGTCTTTTAATGAAAATTACTTAATACATTCTTTGTAGAGATGTATTTAACGTATGTGACATTATTAATTACAGAAACATGGATGGCAGCAGTAATTACAGAGACGCAGAGATGGGTGGGCCTCATACCCCACAGCAAGCAGCGTCTACGAAAAAATTGCAGCAAACTCAAGCAACCGTTGACGAGGTTGTGGGGATAATGAAAGTAAACGTGGAAAAAGTATTGGAAAGAGATCAGAAACTGTCAGAATTAGAAAACCGTGCAGATGCCTTGCAACAAGGAGCGACACAGTTCGAACAGCAAGCAGGAAAATTGAAAAGAAAGTATTGGTGGAAAAATCTTAAAATGATGATCATCATTGGTATTATCTGTGTAATCATTTTAATCATCATCATTGGTAAGTGTTACTTATAGAAATAATACATAACAATCAATATAATTTTTGGCAAATATTTTTAGTATATACTTTTAGCATATTGTATTTTTAAATATATATCTTTTTCAATGTTTACAATAGCATCAGTTGTGTCTGGCTCATCGGATACCGATTCTAACTGATAGTATTGTACCAAAGAGGATATGTTTGGGTTGTTAATTCTTGTCTTAGAATAAAAATACTATGGCGAAGTAAATGTTGAGCAAACAAAGTTATAAGTATTGCAATTATTAATTGTCACAATCTGAAGTCTTATTCAGAATAATTGTATAAATAACAAATATATTTTTGAGACATATACTTATTTGAACGCACATGTATTAGATTAACTACAACAGTACTATGGGTGGCCTTTTGTAAAACTGTGAACGGACAATACATTTCATAATGTTATCTTGTTACAATGCCTATTGTATATTTATTAAGGATATATAATATATAATACAACGTTTATACATTTTTCCATCTGTTTTTAAATAATTTAGACTCCTATTTAGTCTACTTCCTCATCCAAATACCAATATCCAAGTGAGAGTGATTTTTATTGAATATCAAAGAAAAAAATGCGTAATGTTTGTTCAAGTTATTTTTGATCTTTGTAGTTTTTTATCAGTGCGTTGAACTGAATTTACAATGTGTATAGTAAGTGAATTTTATGAAATAGGTTATAAATGACATAGTGACCATCATCGAAGGTTTAAAGTGCTCATATTAATGAGAAATGTGAAGGTAATTATGATTAAAATAAAAGTGGATCCAAAAGGGGCTTGCTTGGATGGACGAAATATGTAACAATACTTTCGAACTTCTTGCACGATTTAAAATTTGTTTCCAATTTATTTATTAATATTTATAATATTTTAATTTATTTGCGCAAGTGCATACTTTGAAACATCTATGGAATATAATGTAAAATTAATAATAAATAAACCTTTTTTAGAGATCGAAGTTTAGTTTTTAGTTCTATAAACCCCGAATACGAAACTTAGCGAGGTCTCGAAATACTCGAAACTCGAAATTTATATGCTTACTTTTTTCTTCTGTTTTTAAAAAAGATGCCAGCATGATTGAATCTATAAAAGATTTTTTTTGATAGAAAATCAATTCATTTATCGAATATAATTAAATAAAATTTTAGTGTGTTGAAGTGAAGTGTAGTTTAAATAAATGAAGGAGTGAAAATCTTGATGCATCCAACGTATGAAATTATCGGATTTCAAGGTATGAATCTGAGTATGAATCATGAAATGATTCCAATTGTGATATTATATTAATGATAACGACTACAAGTTGTAATCTGTAATTATAATTAGTGTATTTTAAGTTTGTGACTAATATAAATGTGAAATAGTAGTAAGTTTGAAAAATAAAGTCGTGTTGCAAATTTTTAAAAGGTAATTTGAGAAAAGGTTTGTCGTTTATTAACTTTACGAACAAGGCAGGAAATTTTCACGAAATTATGAAACATTTTTAATTACGTTTGGTCCGTGGCTTGTACTCACACGTTTGCAACCTACACACACACACACGCGCGCGCGCGCGCGCATGCCCCGCCACGAGACCTGTGAATCATAGTGGTGGGGATTCAGCTTACAATAAAGTTATTTGCTTTGGACTCGCTTTTGCTCCATCGGGCAAGTGAATTATTGTCTATTCTTGCAATTTAACGATTCGCCAATTCGATTATTTCAGTTGAAGCTTGAGAGTTTCATACTTCTGAACAAAAAGATAGCACGCGTGCGCTATTATGTATTAGGTTCTCAGGGATAGATAAATAATTCTCCATGTTCGACGAATTATATAACATTACCTTGTAGTAATATAAAATTGAATTGCAAAGTGGAATCTTGTTAGTTTTCATATTTATCGACGAAATAGATAAAACATGGTGAAACGTTTATTTTGTAGTAAATTGAAAAAACTACACTATTCTGTATTATTTATTAGTGCACCTTTCTGAATGTTTTGTTACCTTGATCATTCGTTTTGATAAAAAAATAAATCTATTCTCAAATATAGTCTTGAAATACTGTTTTTTTTTTTTTGGAGAATACTGTTTTATTTTTTTAATTCATTAATGTTTTCAAATTATCTATTGTTTCTATAAATTGTTCGGACGACATTCGAATTTGGAGATTATACTGGTGAATCCAAAAGTGGAATATTTTCAGACGAGACAATTTGGGTAGCATTGTCCTAGCGAACAATGAAGTTATTACCAACAATGTCTCCGGCATGCTTGACAATTTGTTCTTGTATTAAATTACGATAAGTAGTGCCATTCGTTCGGCCTTGAACGATACGATGCCATCGTAGCCAATACCTGCCGAAACCATTGTACTTCCCCCCACCCATTTTATGCCACACTTGACAGTTACTCTTATCGTACGCGATGAATTAATAATCAAAGCCGTCTAGATCACGTAGGTTAAATCTTTCTTCATCCGTAAATACAATTCTTCGCTTCTTCTACCACCGTACACGTTATTTTGTCACCCATGATCGATGCTCGGCTTTAGTCGTTTAATATTCTCAGATGTCTAGAGCGAATGTATCCGGGATTAGTTTCGAGTCTAGTCGAGCGTGTAATTTGACGCGAGTTTGACGCGGTACGCAAAAGGCAAGTTTTTCACTCACTGAAATCGCGGAAAATATAAACAACTCTCTAACTTCTCTTTTTAGGCCCCGAAAATTTTTGAAACTGACAAGTTTTGTTTCTGTAACGCAAAAATTGTTTGAATTTCCCCTTTGTTTCATTTTTCCCCGGGCCCCATTTCTCTGATAAATATTCGTAATATTTCTGAAGTTGGCTGTGCACGTAAAAATTATTATATAGTTCGTTGCTTTTCAGGATAAATGTAATTTAACTATTTCTGTTTTTTCAAATTTTAACAACATATAAAAATTGTAAATTTTAGGGTGGTTTCGTAGTTATGTACAGTTTGTAGATTTTATATTTCATTTGATGAACCTGGAGGATTTTGAGTCTATCTCTGATTGTAAGAGCCTAACGATAACACGCGCGAGCTATCTTTTTGTCTAGGAGTGTACAAACTATATAGTTTTCTAATCGCATTATTCACGAATTCATTCAATCCTCTGTTTTCAGTTGTTATTTCGAAAGTATGGATAATTCGAGTAATTTGTTATGTTACCTCAACTTTCTCCGAACTATAAATATACAACGAGGAGCAAAAGTGAACATATACATGGCACTTTTAACTCAAGTAATATTTTATTCAATGTTCGAGTATAGAACGTAAAAATATAAAATATGTGGTATAATGTACGACGACTTTCCATGATAAATATTACATTCATATTACTATCGTTATTCTGCTTAATATAACTGGACCAATAATTAGCCATAGTTTATACAGTAGGAAACATCAACTTTTAATATCAGAAGTTTGAGGAATTTCTTATGTACTATGGTGGCTTATCTACATAGCAAGTTGTACAAAAATTTGTCGTTAAATAATTCAACAAATTATACAATAAAATAATAAATTAATTATTGCAATAAAATATATTGCAGTAAAGTTCTTCAAAGTACAAGAGGACGTTCGAAATTGTTATTCTTCCAGAAGAGGAGACGATTTACAAGGTATGTTATTATAATAAAATCAACGACGACATTACACAGTGAATAATAAAGGAAAAATAATGGAGTTGGAAAACAAATTTTTGAGAGTTTGTAGTGTAGCCGTGGAATTATTTATAATTTTAGGAGACTAAAATTAAAAAAGTAAAATCGAATTTATTAGAATTCTCGTAAGAGTACAATTAAGGAAGACCGATCAATTAAACTAGCAGACATGGATATTGCATCAAGACGAGTGAAAGTTAAAAAAGAAATACATGCCTTTGAAATATTTATTTTAGAAGAAATAAGAAATTCAACTGGACTCAAGAATTATTAATATGTTGTTTATATTAGCAAACATATATCTTTCAAAATTATTTCATTTCCTGTTATCGAGCTCAGGCATTTTTTTATTACCTTCCAAATAATGGTATTTTTTCGAACATTTAAATCCCGTTAGAGTTATGTATATGTATACATATGTATAAAAAAAGATTTCATTCAAATATACAGGGGGTTCGGCCACCCCAGGGAAAAATTTTAATGGGAGATTCTAGAGGCCAAAATAAGGCGAGAATCAAGAATACTAATTTGTTGATGGAGGTTTCGTTAAAAAGTTATTAACGTTTAAAGTTCTGCCCGGACTCAATTTTTTTCTAGAAAGTGGGTAGGATTTCGGAAGTAGGTCTATTCACCAAAAATTATTGTAATTGACCCCCGTAATCAAAAATAATTTTTTCAGAACGATTTGAAATTTTTTAATTTCGTCGAAAAATTTCATACTTACTCGAATTTTTTTCTCGAAAGTGGATAGGATTTCAGGGGTATATCTATTCGCCAAAAATGCTTGTAATTGACCCGTGTAACTAAATATAATTTTGTTAGTATGATTTGAAATTTTTTAATTTCGTTTAAAAATTTCAGTACCTACTCGAATTTTTTTCTCGAATGATGGTAGAATTTCAGGAGTATGTGTATTCACAAAAAATGATTGTAATTGAGCTCCGCAACCAAAAATAATTTTTCCAGAATGATTTGAAATTTTTTAATTTAATTTTTTAATAACTTTTTAATGAAGCCTAATTTTGGCCTCTAGAATCTCCCATTAAAATTTTCCCCAGGGGTGGCCAAACACCCTGTATACATATTAATTTCAAGAAGTAATCCCAGTTTTATTGTATTTGATTAAAATTGCTGGTCCCACAGAAAATTTTGGTAAAGCATCAACAGTTACCAATGTGTTAATATGATATGTATAATTAAATAGAGGTAAACTAGGAATCTCTGATCAGAATCAATACAAAATTTTAACAGTTTCAACTAACTATAATTTGTAGAATGTTTGTTAGCATAATGTATATGACAAGTGACACTGAGGTAGCGTTTAAATTGGTGCTGTTGCATCGTTGGATGTTTCGTATGCATCAATCGAATAAAACACGATTCAGTCATCGAATAAACATACAACTGAATAATTGGAAGAAGGATCGCAGCATTTTATCGAACCGGGGCTTTTGTGTCGTTCCGAAGTCCGTGGTGAATTGCTTTACCTGGAACGTTCGAGTTCATTAATATTCATAGAATGACGCTCAAGCGCGAACACCGCCTTGCTTCTAGCAAAGGAGCGTCACCGTCGACGCGTCGCGACGCCACAGTGGGGTATTTGCTCGATCTACAGCGACTCGTATTAACACGTTCTTTGCCTAGTTTTTAATACAGACACATCCAACATTTGTGCAAATTGCAGCGCCAGGAATAGAAATATCCAATAATTGAATTGTGTATTTGCTATTTTAACACCAGAACGTCGTATATACACTCGAGAAATTGATCACGTGGTATAGTTTCCAGTATTCTTGAA